AGTTAAATATTTAGCTTTTTGTCATTTATTCTATATAAAACAATTTTATTATAGAGTTAAAATGTAAATAGCTTTTTCTTCTTTGATTGAGTGTGAATTATTGTTAATATTATTGGCTTAAAGAATAAATTGAATATTGAATCTTGAAGCCTAGTGCAAAGGAAAAAGTCACGTGACCAAAAAGTAAAAGGGACGAATCTATAAAGTTTCCAATACTAAAACTTAAGTATTCTTTGCACAAAAACAATTTTTATCACAATTCCATTTACAACGATAAGATTTAATAAACTCAATTATTACTCTCGTTGTCTGATGGCAATCAAGTGCACAGCGGACTCATGCAAACATACAAGCGTCACACAACATTTTAAAAGCTAGGCCAAATCCTCATCTGTTTACGCCATAAACCCCTTTTTCTGAAGTTACTTACAGTAAATATGAGCTTACTCACGTTTAGGAGAAGTTATAGTCTGCCTCCTTCGTTGTCTTTGAGGGCTTCTTGCAGAAGTTGAAGGTCTGGACGTGTTGTGGTATATCACCGAACCTCTCTCTGTTCTATCCACATGTTTTGGGGATGGATTTTTTCTTTTTTTAGCGGAAGTCGTTACTCGAACCATTTATGCTCCTAGCTAACGCATAATATTTTCAAAATAAATAATAAAACATTATTAAAAGCTTTAAATTCTGCTTCTTATTCGTAGTAAATTTGTTTGAAATTCGTAAAAGGAAAGCTGTTGAAAAGACTCTAACGAAGTCTAAATAACGTTTGATTTGATTGGCTGAAAGATTTTCATTTTTAAAAATAACCAATCAGAACGCTCGAGATAATTTGATTTTGGCGCCCTTTGGCCGCCGCCTCATAACACCGAGGGCTCAGTGTTTTGAGAAACCTCGTGTGGTAGAATTATTAAGTGAATCTTTAGCTGTTTCATTTTTTATAGTTTTTTTATTGGTTTCGATAGAGTGTTGATCATAGAACCATGACACACAACGAGAAGAGAATCGGTTGGCTTCAAGAGGGAATGATCGGGCTTGGAGGTAACTTGTTTTGTGCATTTTACATTTAATATAATCATCAATTATAAATTCAACCTCGTTAGAACGGGAAAATTCTCTCTCTATGGCTCAGCTATTTATAAAATTCGGCAAAAAAGTATCGTAGGATGTCTATTATCATTTCAGTATAAGATTATATAGCTATTATATATGCAGTAGGTATCTGACGCTTTATCTGTGCTGTATAAGGTTTTGTTTATATTTTTACTGTAAAAAACATGACGTCATCTAATAGCCTTGTTTGTAAATTCAAGCATCTATAACCCCTTAGTGTATATTTTTCGATGTTTTTACTCCAGAATGGTATTAGAACCATAGCAACCATTTTAATAAAGCAATATTTTTATGGACATACCAAATAGGATTGTGGTGGTGATGATGGTGGTGATGATGACAGGGATGGTGATGATGATGATGATAATGACAGTGATGGTGATGATGGTGGTGATGATGGAGATGATGATGATAATGGTGGTGATGGTGCTAACAGTGTTGATATTTGTGATGGTGATTATAATGAAGATGAGAATGATAGTGGTGATAATGGTCTTGATGACAATGATGTCAGTGATGACAATGATAAAGATGGTTGTGGTTATTATGATTAATATTTTATTACAATCCCATTTCAACTATTCTTTTTCTTTCCCTCTCTGGCCAAGTTCTGTTACCAGACACTATGGACCCAACCCAAAATAAATGTTTTCATTTCAGTTGGCGTCCTCTATGGCACAACCAGTGTAGCAGTTGGACATCCATTTGATACAATCAAAACAAAGATGCAAGCTCAAGCTGGGTTCGAAAAGACAAGCATGATCAAATCATTTGTTAAAACACTGAGAGAACAAGGAATCAGAGGTCTATACAGGTGTAGTTATCTATCCGTCAATCAATCCAACCGTCAATCCACCAACTAACCATCTAACCAACCAACCACTTTAAGCATCAACCAATTTATTTAACCATTTATCCAATTTATCCCATCATCTACCCATGTACCAATATATCCACTTACCCATCCCTTTGTCTATTCTCTCATCCATCCATTCCATTCCATCCCAATTCCAACCATCCATCTACCCATTCACTCATCCATCTATTCCTAAATCCATCCATCCCACCCCTCCATCCATCTATCCATCCATCCACCCACCCATCCAACCGTCCATCCATCCATCCCATTCACCCATCCATGTCATCCCATCCATCCACCCACCCATCCACCCATCCATTCATCCCACTCCAACCCCCACCTAGCTCTATTTATCGATCCAGCTATCCATCCACCCATTCATTCATCCATCTATTCCTAAATCCATCCATCCCACCCCTCCATCCATCCATTCATCCCACTCCAATCCCCACCTATCTCTATTTATCAATCCAGCTATATCCATCCACCCATTCTTTCATCTATCCACCCATCTCACCCCAATCAGTCCATCCCTTCATCTTCCTATCTCACTCATACATATTTCCATCAAATCAAACAACTAACCTTTTTGTCACTTTTAAATTCTAGAGGGTGTGTTCCACCTTTATGGGGCTCAGGCATCTACAGATCTACTCAGTTTGCTGTTTTTGAAGCAGTGTAAGTACTGAATATTCCTATATGACAAAAATATGACATATAAAAGATTATTTGCATGGAATTGACAACTACTCATTAGTGCCACCTGAAAATTATCAGTGTGGTAACGGTGTACCCTGTCCAATAAAGTTGTTATTATCATTATGCAACAATGAATCTTTTTTTTTTTACAATAGGTATACAATGCTAAACACAAGAAATGGAATAAGAGAAATTCCATTCACTGGAGGAATACAAATGTAAGACTATTATATTTTGACATATAGCTGAAAAGACCTCTTTAGTTTGGGATTATAATAACATTTTCCCACAGTACAGTTAGAGACACTTGAATAACTAAAGGTTACAAAAAAACAAAAAATCTAATTTTTCAAGAGAATGGCATTAGGTATGAAATGGGAAAATATCATGCTCAATCTAAAAAGGTCTTTTTCAAAATTTTTTAATTTTTCTTTTAAATTATATATTTTTTAATTTTCCAATTTTTTATCATTTATTTTCTTCATTTTTTATTTTTATTTTTTAACAGACGAGTTCTTGTCTCTGGGGCATTTGCATCAACAGCCAGAGCAATCATAGAAACTCCATTAGAATTAGCTAAGGTATAATATTAAATAAATTATCAATTGCTGCTGGTTTTCAAAACCAGTCTTTGTTGTAAATGTATAGTTCAATTTAATAAATTTTGTTTATTGAATGATTTTTTTTCATAGGTGAGAAGACAAACAGGACAAACATGGCATTTCAAAAGCCTCTACAGAGTAAGTTGTTCAATAAATGATTTATTTAATTTATTGTCATGAAATACAAAAGCATTGCATTCTGACCTACAAAATTGCTGTTATGAAACCCCCAGCCTCAATAAACCTTCTTCCTACTGCTTAATTGTGTTTTCATATCGAATTTCTTTTAATATTTAAGTTTCCCTATATTTATTTCTTGATAGGATTTGGTTTGACTAAAAAATACTGAGCCTAGCTCTTTCATGTTTGTGTAAGCAGGGGTATGATATTATTCTCAAACTTCCAAAATACCTTCATCACTTTCATTTCACCTGCTCACTGGTCACACCCAAGGCTTTTCAGTCAAGGTTGCATGGTTCAAATTTGAATGATCCTTTGAAACTGCCTTGCATCGTTGATGGAGTGGTTTCTGTGTGACAATGCAATGAAATAATGTGCAAAAAGCATTGAAATCAAAGTCATGCTTTTGACTTGATATTAATTTTCAATGTTGTAGGGATTTGGAGTGACATGGTGTCGTACAATGGGTCTAATGTGTACATATTTCATGCTGGTAGACAGTGGTCGGCGACATTTTCCAGAACAATTCAAAAAACCATTACTTGGTCCTTTTCTAACTTCAGGAATAGCTGCTACATATCCTTTTGAATAATTTGGAAATTATATTCACACATAGAAGTGAATTTTAAAGCTTTCCTTGGAATGAGATATAGGAACCATTGACTACCCTAAATAGAAGGCTATCATAAGGTTTTAGAAAGCTTACCACAAACTTGGGATATGTAAACCATTTCTGTGGCACCAGCCAGCTTAAATGCTGTGCATGTGTGTTGCAGCATGGTAGCTCTCTGGTGATATTTGAAAAATTAGTTTTAATGTTTGTTGTTTTTTTTTTGTGCTCATGTTTGTATCAATCTAATGTCTTTGAAAAAAATGTGTTTTTGTAATATTCTTTAATTATTGTTACTCTCGGATGGTGGGTTGTTTGGCCGTTGGAATACATGAAATCTCAAGTACAAGGAAATTATGGAAAGTAAGATCATTAACGACATATTTGTTATTATTGTTACAATTATTATTGTTATCATCATCACCCTGCACACTATCATCATAATCACTATCATCTTCACATCATCACCATTAATGTCATCAGCAATAGTATCATTAACATCATTGCCAACACCATCCCCATCATCCTCACTACCATCATCGTAAACATCATTGTCATCATCACCGCCATCATTACCATAATCACTATCAGGATCATCACCATAAACATCATACACTTTACATTGCTTACATGGTTGTCATCAAACATCATACTGGTATAAGGGCATTGAGACGTTGTATAAATGCACTATATAAGAACCTCACATCATTATTATTATATAATAAATAAGAGTTGCAAGTAGCTAGTGGTAACATAAGCAGTGCAAGCCATCTATACTAATCCCCTTGGACTGTTTAATATTTCTTTTAAAATTATTAATTTACAGGGATCTTCCAGTCATCACTCGCATGAGGCTGGTGATAAAAGAAAAAGGTGGTTTCTTCGGCCTTTATAGAGGAATCCTTCCAGGATCCATCAGAAGTTTTATGTCGAACGGTTGCAGCATGATCGTCATGAGCTGGGCACAACGAAAAGTCTCAGAGTGGGGTTTGAGAGAGCAATTACGATAGTGTCATTAATTTTTAATAGAATAGCAAATTTTTACAATTCTGAGACTGTAAAATTCAAAATCTAAGTGCCCAACTTTTTGGTTTCTTCATTAGCACTTGTAAATTTTACCCCTTCCAATACTCTGCAGGACAAACTGATATCTCATAAGAATGCACATAATAATATTTTATTTATTTATCCAAACTTTCTAAATTATTATTTCATAAATTAAATATTATGAAAAATATTTGTGCAGTTGTAAAATTTCTTGTCAGAAAAATGCATGAATTTTAAATAGCTCCAATAACCCCCTTGCAATGTTGTCCTAGAGGAATATTGTTCTGGGGGACAAAATGATAGGCTGGCTTTTCTCATGCAAATAAAAATCCAATGTTTGGTCCCCCTGAATAGTCCTCTTGGGACTCAGTGCAAGGTGTCTATAGTATAGGTAAACAAATAAATAGTTTTAAAACGTTTTTCTGTCTCTTAGTCATGTTATAAATATGAGTTCAAAAGGTACTCATAAGGAGTTGAATATGTAACAAACATACTGTCATGTCTCTTAGTCTTGTTATAAATATATCTCCTCTGAAAGTCAGAAAATTCAGCAAGAATTTTTGTGTGAGAGAAGCGGCCATCTTGAAACCAAACTCATACTGTTCCAAAACGGTATCAAAAGTCCTAATTTGCATAATGTGAATATTCTAGCGCACGGTTGTAGTGTTATACGTCGAATACATCACATGACAATGCAGCCATATTGGTGTACCAAACAATAGAAACTTTCTACACAGTTTTTGCATAAAAGTAGAGTTCAATTCCCCGAGGATAGAAAATGTATTGTTTTGGTACCCCATAATGGCCGCTGTGACTTCACGTGGAAAAACTCTAATAAGTTTCTGATGTGTTCTGATAAATAAATGACTTCCAAGGCAAGTTTGTGTGATTGTAGTTTAGTCAGAATCATTTCCTCCTGATGGAAGATGCCTCACAAATGGAAGGACCCTGTTTTTCAAGCCCTGTGAACCAGATTTGATTTTGTGCTCAATCCCTTCAGATTCCCAAACAGCAGCATCAGCTAACTCCAGCACAAGGCTTTCCATTGTGTACTCCAAATGAAAAGCAAACTCCCCATCAAATGTCCATTGCTTTTTCTGCCAAGTTTGTTGGACGGGGATCTCTTTAGCACCTTTGAGTCTCTGCCAGTCTTGCCACACTTGTTGTCGAACAATTTTGGTGTTTTTGTCCCTGAGGTGCAATAGGATTGCCATATTTTGCTTTGGTGCGTAGAAAAGGGCACAAAGTACTGATGCCTGACTTGCAACTTTGACTCTTGCTGTTGAGAAAATTGCTTGATTTTTACCCAGATCACAACCTGTCCAATCTCTCTCACCAGACGCCATGATTAAGTTTCCAGTTGTCATCGAGAAGCCACCAATTGTGCCGCAGACATTTGTAACAATGTACTCTGAACCAGTTGCATCAATCACTTTCGTCAGATCAAAACCACAGCTGCCAATTTCCTTACATTCTCTGTATTCGTCTTCAGTCAGTGCAACTTCGATTACATTTGGACTTACTTTCATTGCTGGGATTTCAAGGGTGACAAACCGGACATGGGGTGTCTTTGGAGGAACGTCGCCGAAAAGCAAAGCAACCACAAGCTTGTTTCCCGAGAAATTCATTTCACATGATAAGATCTTGGTGCAATCCACTCTGATTGGCCGATACAGTAAAGTAGTATATCGGCTCAGTAATTTGGTATCTTTGTAGTAGGTGACTGAGTGGAATGTTGCCCCACTTTCAGGGACATTCCTTGGAGAGTAAAGATGGTTGATCTTATTCTCTCCAACATCTTTGGTTTTCCATGGTCTTCCAAGATAAAGTGAATTAATAAAAGTTTGAGTTTCTTTTCTTTTCTCAATCATGTCACTCCGGTTTAGTTCCTTGATTTTTCCAGTTCCCTTGACAGTATCAACGAACTCAACCTTTTCTGTGCTCCCTTCTACAGGCTCGTAAGTCTTCTCTGTAGAGTCTAACCTGAAACTTGCTATAGGCGTATGCCAACCAAACCCTGAGAGGCTCTCGTCCTTCTTCTCCCAGAGGTGTATATAAGCTTGGGCATCAAAGGTAATCATAGGACTGTCATTGTTTACAAATGATATGAGTTGAATAGGATGTTTATGGGCTTGAAATAACTCTGCGTTAATGCCTTCACCAACTTTGTTTTGAACACCTTGTCCAACACTTGATCTACCAAGGTTGAGTTTCAAGATATTTCCATCTGCAAGTCCAACCATTATTGATTCCTGGCGACCAAGGAATGAAAACGTTGGGTGAAAGGCAACAGTTGTTGGCTTCACAACATGTTCATTCATTGACACCAAGTTTCCTTCAGTAAAGAGCAAGTCCTGGGGTTCCAAGCTAATGATGGATTTAAGCTCAGTTGTTTTGAAACCCAGGTTTTCTTCCACAGGTTCAAACCCTTTTACGTCAAAAATACTGGAATTTGCATTTAACATTGACCATATCTGTATAGTACCAAGCTTGTCAAGGGTTAATATCTGTGTTGAATCTAGTGACCATTCCATAGATATCACAGTGAATTTCCCCCTGCACCCTTTTAAGACTCTAGGAGGGTAGATCGACAAATCCCACACAGCCAGATCTCCTTGAGCTGCAGCCACGGCCAATAAGGAGTGATCTGATGACAGCGCAGTGCAGTATATCCCTTTGTACCTTTTAGGGAGTGGGAGTATGGAGAAGATTGGGTCACTAAACCCAGACCAGAACTGCAATTCAGAATCCCTATAAGTTAAAAAATTCTCAGAAAACTTGTGATCTGGGATCTTGTTGTATGGAACGATTTCTTCCAAGGATAAGACATTCCCGTCAAATGCATCTTCCTCTGATTCTGGTATTTCTGTACCTTCGTCACTAACATATACTAAGTTTTGAGTATGATGCCATACTTTATGTTGCTTGTTTCGGTCCTTCTTCATTTGAATGTAAGTATAAGACAGCAGACTTTCCATGTTTTCCTCTATCTGCCCTTCAGTTGGGAGTATTCCTTTCAGGATCATGTTGCCAACTGTCTGCTGTGCTTGGTAATGAATGGCTAAACTCACGCTCACAGCCTCGCCAGCCAGGTCCTTGCACACTTCATTTAGTATATCTTCCTGTGTTGCTTGCATGGCTGAAGCATAGCACATCTCAGATTGCTCAAGTTCCAACTGCTCTTGCATTTCATTCACACTTTCTGTGAATCCATCCCTGTTGCTAGTAAAAGGCTGACACACAACATAATCAAGAATTTCGTCAATCCAAGATTGTACAAAATCTCGTATGAAGTAGAAATCCTCTAACTGCCATGCTTCATATGAACCAATTCCTAGCTCACCTCTGTAGGGCTGCGCCCTAATTCGTCTTCTCACAGCATTTTCATCCCTAACAACCCGAACCTTTGTCTCATAGAGCGGTATTTTGTCTCTCACTTTCTTCACAGTCGAATTAAGCCGACTTAAAATAACTGAACGGTCGACAAGGATACTTTGACGTTTTTGGTGTAGAGTGCGAAAACGGTCTTCCCTCTCTTTTTTCTCGCGTTCATATCGTTCTTGACTTGTCTTGATGAAAGCTGAGATATTCATCAATTGGTCTTCGTAGTTAGATGACTCCATATCGAGTTATTTAGTAATGTTAATCGTTATTTTGGATAAAGTTCGACGAGACGTGATTTAAATCGTCCGCCATGTTTATTTGTTTTAGCAGCAGATCGTAGGGAATCCTGGGAAAAGCGTCCTTGACAACCACAGGGATCCCACCATATCCTTTGTGACAAGAAAATAATATAATGTGAATTTTAGCTATTGATGGGTTGCAAGCATTCCTAAGAGAGTTAAAAGACAAAAACATGGCAACCATCGTGGTACTGTTAACAATGATGCTAATGACTATCTTCTGTTAAATGGTACCAACATGGCCATGATGACATAACATGCAAACGAAGAATTCGTAATGTTTTCCCAATTCATACGAAGTGTCATTCTCTTCAGAATAAGCTTATTTGTTTTAGTTGTATCCTTATTTATAGGTCTTCTCATGTGCAACCTTTGAACAATTAAAGGGATAAGCTTGGCCAAATGACACATGGTCTGAAATGTGAACTGACCATTACACTCAAGTTTTAAGGGTCTATTCATAGTTTTTTTTACACAACAATTTATTCAGCAACCAATGCTGTCATTGAGATCATTCAAAAATCTGTTGGATAATTTAATAACTCACAAAATCTTTAATTTAAAAACTGATTGATATATCTATTACAATCCAAATATTTATGAAAATTAATGTTAATCCATGATAATTTATCAATGTTTTCCTTTCTATTTGGAGGGACTGATTGAGGCCTTCCCTAACCATGCAACCAAAGACAGACTCTTTCCACTTCAGACAAACTCATTTGAAGGTTGTCCAAATCCATACCTTTACATGGTATTTTTTAATATCTTGGGAAAATATAATAGACAATACAAGTTTTGCATTCTTAAAAAATTTATGTTATGTTATTTTTTGCTCAGTTTCATTCATTTTCAAAGCCAATTTGATATAACTATGAACTTATGATAGTATGGACATCACCGAACTGGGTTCGGAGAAAGGATTGCAGATTAAAAGTTTCATCTTTGTCAGCAGAGTCGTAGACCTTTGGAAGCACAACCATTGCATATCTTTCTGACGTGAAAATCCTGGCAGTTCAGAGACATCCTTAGTAATGGAGGCAGGTCATGATTATGATGGTACCATATTATGTCCTCATTCATTCAAGATATACTCTATAATCTATATTGTATGCACTGTTGGTTATAAGTCTATATATATTGGAGCAGTAGATGTTGTTAAACTAAGTCAACCATGCATGCTATTTTCTTCTAATTCTAAGGTTGTGAGAGGTTTAAGGAGTGAAAGAGGAGAGTTCCCTATAGCAACCGTAGTTATGAACTTCTGCCGCAGACCAACCAGCAACACAGGATACTACACCACTTTCTAAACTTTCTGATTTTTTTCGATTTTGAAAAAAAACTTGTCTTCCACACATGATATAGCTCTGATTGAAATATACTATTATCTAGTTTTCTCACTGGACTCTGAAGATGGCTAAGTTCTGCTCAGGTCGTCGAAACGTCAGTCACCACCAACAACAGTCTTTTTCATGACAACACTCACCCGGACGATCACCTTTCACAACGACTGAATATATTATGTTTTCCTTTGCTTTCCTTTGTTAACGAAACGTTTATGAAAGGTTGTTTTGATCAAACAATTGTACAAAAGCTTGACACTACAGTGTTCTGTGCCGTCGCCATTTCTAACGTCTTTTTGGAAGAATTCCCTGTGTCGACATTCCCGGCCATATTGGAAGCACTTGCAGTTTGTTGTCTCACTTCTTTGTCATTTTTATCACGATCTTGAACTTCCTGAAATTCACCGTCCCATGCAGACTGCACAACCTTCTTGTTTTGAGCATTATGAAGAAATTCTTTGTATATCAACAAAGCAGTATCTTCGTAGCGATTATGGATTAAGATTTCTGACTCGGAGTGAGTTTTTCGTAATCTGACTTTTATCATATGCACGACTTTGGCAAATATTTTGATCGCTCAGATCTGAGAGATCGGCTTCTATTTTGAGTTCATCGCTTCATATGGGCATTATATCAAGAACATAGACTATTTTTAAGGTTTTCCAGGAGTAAAAAAGAGAGAAAAAGAGTCATCTGTGAGAGCTACTTTTCTGACATACCTTCCGTCTTGTTGTTATGTATACGTTGTCGTCCTTTCTCGTTACCAGGTTCTTGTCACACAGGCAGCCCAACATCAGTTTCGTAATTTGTCAAAGTTTTGACCATAAAAATATTGTTGATTCGAGAACTCAAATGTTATGATTTCTTTACTTCATAAATAGAGAGTCATGCAAATCGTCATTAAAATCTGTTTAACTAAACCATTGTTCAGTTTTTGTATTTTATCTATGAAAACCAAAAGTCATTGCTTGGGTTGCCTGTGGAACAACAGGTTTCGACAAGACTACTTGGCCCCTCCAAAAAAGAGGGCACTGAAGGAGGGTATTGACAACATATCGTTTTTTCTCTGTCCTTTATGCTTTAAGGGCATTCTAAATCAACGGCAAAACCCTGGATACTCAGGTGGGTTTATTTGGTTATTACAGTAATTTTTTAGTACGCTTTTTATAAAAACAGCAAAACCATATTTGAAGATAATTTCTGAAAAATTTCAAAATCAAAAGTATATATGTTATTTTGAAAAAGCTTATTAAATTTTTTTGTCGCATTTGTTTTAAGTTGATGTGGTTATTTAAGTGAAGAGGAAAAAGAGAACAAATTTTTGTGTGCGTGACGATGGCGGCTGCCGATAGTATCGAGGTGGATCTTCATCTTCATTCCAGTACAAGACATCCTATAGAACTACAGCGATCTGGTCCTAAAGACTTGAAATATAATGTTAGGATTTCTGCTATACATCGTCAAACAGTAAGTTGTTTGTTCTTCGAGATCTGTTTTTTATTCATTCCTACCTTAATTCCTACCTGTCTACAGTGTACTTGTATTACCTAGCTGTCTGCCTGCCTGACTGCTTACCTACCAACCAATTGCAAACGACCTACCTACCTCCCTACCGTTCCCTACCTACCTACCGACCTCACTACCTCCATTCCTCCCTACCTACCTACCTCTCTACCATTCCCTACCTACTACCTAACCTACCTACCTGTCTACCTAACTACCTACCTACCTGCCTACCTAACTACCTACCTACGTACCTCCCCTACGTACCTCCCTACGTACCTCCCTCCCTCCCTACATCCCTACCGTTCCCTACCTACCTACCTACCTACCTACCTACTGACCTACCTGCCTACCTGCCTACCTACCTACCTACCTACCTACCCACCTACCCACCTACCCACCTACCTACCTACCTACCTACCTACCTCCATTCCTCCCTACCTCCATTCCTCCCTACCTCCTTACTTCCCTACCTACCTATCTACCTACCTACCTACCTACCTACCCACTCACCCACCCACCCACCTACCTTTCTACATGTCCATCCACCCACTCGATCTTATTTTTCATTTTTACAGGTGTGTGAAAGAGGCTCCAAAAATATCATTCTTAAGGTACAATATCTTATCTATTATTGTTCAATTTAGTGCTTTATAATTTTTTGAGTTCATACACCAAATTAAAATATGGTGACCAATAATTCAACTAACTATTGTTTTAGACTGAATAGGACTCTTGTGTTCATGTGGAAACATAAATAAAGCATAATTTTCACATGTATGCCATATTTTCAATAGTAAATAACTGTCACTGATATATGCAAATTTATGATTTTTGCTGAAGATACTGCGAGAATATGACTGTATTGAAGTGAAAGGTGATGACCACAATGAAATCTTCAATGAAACAGACTTCTTTACTTATTCTGTTTCAACAACAGACCTCACTACTCTAGTAAGTACATATTTAATTCCAATTGGAATTTCAGTGGGCAAATAGCTACTCTATAGAAATGCCACATTGCTAAATCCCATATTTTTTTAATACCACAACCTTCTTACAAAGCTATATATCATATTCCACAGGGATTCACAATAAATGTGTTCAATAAGGTAACAGATGATTCAGCAACATCACACCTTGGACAAGGACACATAACACCATTACAGCTCAGTGGTAGTAATGGCACTTTGATAGTACCCTTGATTGATAAATCTTTTCAAACCATTGGAACTATTTCTGGTAAGTATACACTGTCGTATAGAGCAGTTTCCGTATGACTGCGAAAAGCTCATTGCCATAAGCGTGACGTGCCGTGACCATTATGCTTTCTAGAATTTTAATTGGCTGATTTTTTTCATGCGCAATGTGATTGGTCTGGCATTGCTGTGACCTTGGCACCGTGTCTGCACTGTGTTCATGCCATGTTTCGCACATTTGATTAGATGGAGAGTAAATTCTTGCACAATGTGATTGGTCTGGCGTATTCCTTGCTGTGTCACGACCGTGTTCGTGCCGTGAACTTTTCACAGTCATATGAAAACTGCTCTATGTCTTGATAAATGAACTCAAGTCTCCTGGGGCTATTTTGATGAGACCAGATGGAATCATGGGAAGATATGGGTGTTTTTTCACTATATTGGAAAAATGCTTAAAATAGTTGAATATAGTCTCCTGGGTATACAATAATAATGCCTGATGGAATCATGGGAAGAGATGAGTTAACGTTTTTCACTTTGTTGGAAAATTATCAATTACATTTGGGAATTGTATTACGCATGAGAGGAGTAAAATTGGATAATAATTTTATGCATTATTTTAATTTGTATTAATTCACACTTAGTGGTCCTTAGTGTGGTGTATTAAGTTGTCATGGTAACCATGGCAGCCATGTCACGACTCACTGCTTCTATATTGCACCTTAAGAATGACGTTCTGGTCAATGCAATACCTACCTATATATACCCCTCCCATATAGATATATACATGTTCTGTATATTTAACAGCTATACACATATAAATTTTTAACAACTTATTTAGTTGATTATTTGCTGGTGAAACCATGGCACCATCCACTCAATACCCCATCTGAACAAGACAGGCATACTAGAGGTTTAAAGGACCAGAAAAAAGATGGGTCATATGTGTGTGGGCACAGAGGAGCAGGAGAGTCATTTGGTTCAACAAAGTAAGATGTTTTATCTAACTTTTTATCTAATATAGAGGCTTTGCACCATCGTGTGATGGCAGCCATGACAGGGGGCAGGAACAATTGAATCTGACCTAATCTGATTTACATGAGAAAGAATTCAGTTTCCCAGGGAAAAAAGACTATTGTTGTGCCTCCTGCCATGGCTGCCATCACGTGATGGTGCAAAGCCTGTATAGCCAAGGACCAAGCGGAACACCCTAAAAAGAGGGGGGAACAGCTTAGATTAGAAAATGTAAACTATAAGAGACTAGTATGCAAAGGGGTAAAGGTGGGGTGTGGGGGAGGGGGAGGGGGGAGACCAGGAAAATGTATGGATTATAGCAAAAAGTGTGGGGGCTATAGCTCCTCAGCCCCTCCCTCTTGCCCCTCAGCATCCCTGATAGCCCTCCTTATTAACTTCTTAAATTCAAAAGTCTTTTTAAAATTAAGAAATTCAATGAATAAAGATCCACTTTGCAAGAAATGTTTTACAAAGATTGTGTAATATTTGTGATTAGGCCATGGGAATACCCAGAGAACACTATCAGTGCTTTCAAAGCTGCTCACAGAATGGTGAGTATATGTTTGTTTGCATCTGCTTGACGCCCATTCATTCTTGTCATTTTCTTTTTTTTTTTTTTCTTTCATTTCGTTTACTGCATTTTTACTGTCATTTTCAATATTCTGTGAACTCAGACATATTTGGGTCTCATTGTGAAATTGGTTTTCACTGCCACCAGTCAAAAGTATAAAAGGTACTGACTGATTATTTTTGATTGACGGTAGCGAAAAACATTCTCACCTGATCCCTTGTTGACTCATTCACTTCTATAAATTTCTTTAACTCATTCCTAAAATTGTTCCCTAGGGTATAGATTTTGCAGAAATGGATGTTCAAATCTCAAAGGACAATGTCCCAGTCATCTTTCATGATACTATGGTCAAGCTTTGTTTAGAGGTGTGGAGGGAGATTGAAATTTTCAACAGTTGATCAGGGTCGAACTGAGGAGGGTATATTGTATCTCTTCAGAAAATATCCATACCTCCCCCATGGAGGGGGATTGGAATTTCCAAGGGATGGGGAGACTCTAAGGAGGTTATATTGTGTAGTTCCAGAAAATATCCATACCTCCCCCATGGAGGGGGAATGGAATTTCCAAGGGATGGGGAGGCTCTAAGGAGGTTATATTGTGTAGTACCAGAAAATATCCATACCTCCACCATTAAGGGGGATTGGAATTTCAAAGGGGTGGGGAAGGGACTGAGGAGGGTATATTGTGTAGCTCCAGAAAA